TGTAGAAGTCAATGGAACTGTAAGATCTATTAATATCATTGTGGGAAAATTTATCTACCAGTCCACTTATCACCTTAAATTAAATAGGGTGAATACACCTCATATAAAAAAACTCGTCAGTTTTTCCAGAGTAGAAAGACTATGAAGGGATGTCACAAGCTATAAATAACTACAGTTTTAATCAAGTATAGGAGTTATCAGTAGCCTAAGCAGGATTCGAACTCAGGGTATATGCCCCCAAAAGTAAAGAAATTAATTACCAATAAGGAGCCTCTAGAGCCTAATAAGCAAGTACATGCTTTCCTCAGACACCATCAAAGGGCTCTTGTATCGAAAATAAAATAAATATTTTCAATATAGGAAGAAAAGCTTGATTTAAAAAAATTTCTTAACGGCATAATAATAAGTCTCATGTTCATTTCTGAAAAAAAGTTGGCTAGGAGGAATTTGTGAAATGACTTCAAGGAACTTGAAGCAGGATTATATGAGAATGAAGACTGTTGGATTGTGCGAAGAAACTATCGGCTCACCGTCCTTCCACTCAGATGAATCAATGCTAAGTTTCACCTGTCCCTCCGAGAGAGACATCGTCAGAGCCAGAAATTAGCATCAATGAAAAAATCGCCAGTAGATTAAACCGACTTTTTACCTCTCAATCACACTTTCCTATGAAATGAAATCAAATTACATGTGCTTTAAAGTTATTGAGAATTAAGTCACACATGCCAGGGATTAAATTGGCAAAAGACTGGTCGGGAAGAGGACTTAACAGAGGTTTAATAAATAGACGAATCTTAGCTAATGCTGCCATCCAGGCTATTTAAGAAAAACAGAGAACCTGCAAAGACAAGCGAAAGATAAAATGGCAAATACATGTTAGTTTTATCTAATATGATCCGGGAGAATCCTTCTGGCCCAATGACACTTGTTGATGTCTAATGGAGTGGTAATGTCACCACGATACTCACGCCCTGGTAACGAAGCCTATTGGAGGTGCTGATGAGACGTGGGGAAAATCGAAACTTCAGGTCACCATAGACAAGAGGACCTTTTGGGAGGCAAGGCCAAGTGAAATTCAATGGTATCATAAAAGTTACTAATCTCGTTGTGGGAAAACACAAATATCAGTGCATAAATCACTTTAGACGACCAAGGATGTCTAAATTCCTTGTAAGGTTCTTACATAAAATGATATATTCATCTGCATTGATCCGTGAACATCAAGAGAAGTATGAGAGCTGGTTTAAAATGACACACTGGGGATTAGAATAAAAGTACACACCACATAGCTATGCATGTGATGTTCCACCTGTAGAATTAATAAATGTGAAGAAGATGCGTATGTACAATAAGGTATACAAACCTTGTCTTGGCTCAACCGTTTGCGTGGCAGAAGCCAAGTAAGGAGAGGATGAAGAACTTGGCATGCCAAAAACTTTAGGCGCTCCGACATCTGAAGGCCGGCCAATTGGTCGAGCAGGATATGCGGCACCGCCCCCAACCGATGGCTCGGTAAGATGGTTAGCAAGACAGGAGGATGAATTGCATTTGGACGATGAATTGAGATCAATAGATCGCACAACGCCGCCACTATCACCATGGTCATGCGTGGTACTAGGAGGTTCAGTAGAGCTACGCTGATTAATTGCAAGTCGGCTAAGCGTAAGACCTATACGAGTCTCAAGCCTAGAGCTGTTTGAGGGTGCCATTGACAGAGAGGCCTTACCACCTGGAAAGACGAGATCAAGAAGAAGGAAGGCAGTGAGTTAGACATATAATTCACAAGATAGGATCGAATTTAGATATCCTGACAGCCGGACAATTTAAATGAAAACTAATTACGAGCATGGCTCAATGGTATGCTTGCAAGCAGAAAATTAAATAAAAGTTAGAATAAGAACACCAGAAAGCGAAATGACAAGTAAAAGGATTTTTGAGAGGGCCGGCTTAGAAACCTGTTAGGGAAAAAATAGGATTATAAAAGTTGATGTGTTTAACAAAAACAGATGAATATATTTTCTTACTATGAATATTGATGAGTAACGAACAGGAAGACTACAAATTTAGGGTACATTGACAAAATAAAATAAAATAAAAATGCAGAAAATGCACAGAATAGAACCTTAAAAAATGTCAGCATCAAATTAAGTTAACAAACTAAGTCTCACATTCGAACTACCTTTTGTTATCCAGCTCTTAACTCAACTAGATATAACAGTAGCTACAAAAATAATTCATAGATCAACGAAGCGGTCCAAAACGC